ATGGGGTCCCCAGGTGTCCCCACACATGTCCCTATGGTGTCCCCAGACCATGGAGGCACCTGTCCCTATAGGGTCCCCAGGTGTCTCTACACACGTCCCCATGGGATCCCCAGGTGTCCCTACGCGTCCCTGTGGGGTCCCCAGGTGTCCCCACACACGTCCCTATGGGGTCCCCACACACGTCCCCATGAGGTCCCCAGGTGTCCCTACACACGTCCCTGTGGTGTCCCCAGGTGTCCCCTGGAGACACCTGTCCCCATGGGTTCCCCAGGTGTCTCTACACACATCCCTAGGGGGTCCCCAGGTGTCCCCACACGTCCCTATGGGATCCCCAGGTGTCTCTACACGTCCCTATGGTGTCCCCAGGCCATGGAGGCACCTGTCCCCATGGGGTCCCCACACACGTCCCTGTGGGGTCCCCAGGTGTCTCTACACGTCCCTATGGTGTCCCCAGGCCATGGAGGCACCTGTCCCTATGGGGTCCCCAGGTGTCCCCACACATCCCTATGGGGTCCCCAGGTGTCCCTATGGTGTCCCCAGGCCCTGGAGGCACCTGTCCCCATGGGGTCCCCAGGTGTCTCTCCACATGTCCCTATGGTGTCCCCAATGTCCCTATGGGGCTCCTGTCACCCTCCCTGTCCCCCAGCATCAAGCGCAGCAACTGCTACATGGTGTGGGGCGGCGAGTTCGCCAGCAACACGCAGCAGGCGCGCGTGAGCCACAGCGACCTGGTCATCGGCTGCCTCGTGGACCTGGCCACCGGCCTCATGACCTTCACGGCCAACGGCAACGAGATCAACACCTTCTTCCAGGTGGGCCCCGGGCCCCGTTGTCCCCTGTTGTCCGCCATCCCCCGTTGTCCCCATTCCCCATTGTCCCCATCCCCCATTGTCCTCATCCCCTGTTGTCCCCCGTTCCCCTTTGTCCCCATCCCCCGTTGTCCCCATCCCTCTTGTCCCCCGTCCCCCATTGTCCCCATTCCCCATTGTCCCCTGTCCCCCATTGTTCCCGTCCCACGTTGTCCCCCGACCCCTCTGGGGGGTCCCTTGTCCCCGTCCCCTGTTCTCCCCGTTCCCCATTGTCCCCATCCCTCTTGTCCCCTGTCCCCCATTGTCCCCATTCCGCATTGTCCCCTGTCCCCCATTGTTCCCGTCCCACGTTGTCCCCCATCCCCTCCGGGGGGTCCCTTGTCCCCATCCCCTGTTGTCCCCGTCCCCCATTGTCCCCATCCCTCTTGTCCCCTGTCCCCCATTGTCCCCATTCCGCATTGTCCCCTGTCCCCC